CTCACAGTGGTGGTCAGAATGACAACTTTACAAGCATCCAAAAAGACCATTGGTATCATGCCATTGACTCTGCCAAGTGGTGTTGGTCCAAGAACTATGACACCATTAGATGGGAGGTTAACCTGCCAATCCTCAAGGAATCCCTAGAAAGTTCTAGAGGAACCCTGGATGAGAATGGCTGATCTAACTAGTCACTGAGAACCACAGAAATGGGAGTCTCTATGCTGTACTGCACTGTAACTACTGCTAGCTAGGCCATTGATATTCCAATGGTGGCTTCTCAGTGCTGTTCCCATTATTTGGTCTCTCCACCAAAAATGGTGAAAAAGTAAGACTTTTTTTTAAAGATGCTTTTTAGTCTCCCCCACAGATTTCTGAAAGTGGATCTATGCATTTGATTTTATCCCAAGACTGCTTTTGTATTCTATATTACAGGCTCATATTGTTGGCATGCTGGGTCCTATTGGAGCTGCTTGGGGATCAATTGACCTTTCTACGGCCTTTAAGTTGAACCGCAGGCAGATATAGAACAAACAAATGAATGCAGTTCTGATAGAATACTGAATATTTCTAGATGCACAGTCTAACCATGGTTATCATTTTTGGGTTCAATTACCAACTAATTCAGCTTTTCTCAACCTATTTACCACAAAAAGAAACCCTTAAAATACTTTTTAGTCTCGAAGAACCTCTGCTAAACCAAATCTTCTGAAATCAGTGGGAACATGCCTCTTTCATTGGTAATCAGTGGGAACATGCCCCTTTCATTGGTAATCAGTGGGAAGAGCACCCCCCTCACAGTGGTGGTCAGAATGCCAACTTTACAAGCATCCAAAAAGACCATTGATATCATGCCATTGGCTCTGCCAAATGGTGTTGGTCCAAGAACTATGACACCATTAGATGGGAGGTTAACCTGCCAATCCTCAAGGAATCCCTAGCAAGTTCTAGAGGAACCCTGGATGAGAATGGCTGATCTAACTAGTTACTGAGAACCACAGAAATGGGAGTCTCTATGCTGTACTGCACCATAACTACTGCTAGCTAGGCCATTGATATTCCAATGGTGGCTTCTCAGTGCTATTCCCATTATTTTGGTCTCTCCACCAATTGGTGAAAATGTAAGACTTTTTTTAAAGATACTTTTTAGTCTCCCCCACAGATTTCTGAAAGTGGATCTATGCATTTGATTTTATCCCAAGACTGCTTTTGTATTCTATATTACAGGCTCATATTGTTGGCATGCTGGGTCCTATTGGAGCTGCTTGGGGATCAATTGACCTTTCTACGGCCTTAAAGCTGAACCGCAGGCAGATATAGAACAAACACATGAATGCAGGTCTGAATTAATTTTTTGTTAAATGCAAGCAGTGTAAGTGCTTAATTTTGACCTGGTATCAGCCTCTTGCAGTCCCTGTACAGCAGAGCTCAGACTGAGAGAGGGAGAAGCAGCACAAGGAGTCAGTCAGGGACTAACGAGGAACATGCTGAAAGGAGGGAAGAGCAGAGTGACAGAGAGATAAGCTCATCACTATACTTTTTTTCTTTCACTCATCAATCACAGGTTAATAACTCACCAGCCTTGTCTCAGAGGTAGGGGGTTGAATGATGCTGGCTCACTCAACCCAAAAGGCAGAGGACATCCAGTGGTGAAAAAAAAGTACTGCAGGGGACTACCATGGGTTGAAGATGTGTATCTCAACAAAAAGCTTATTTTTATTTCATGTTTCAATGACCTTTTATTTTATTTGACGTAAATTCTGCTGATTGTAGAGTTTACCAACAACTTTGTAGCATGAGGTTCTACCTCACTGGATATAAATTGAACACTGCTAGCCAGGGGCGGACTGACCATTTGGAAAACTCGGGCACTGCCACGAGGGCCCGGGGTCAGTAGGTGGTGGTGGACGTGGTATACTTGGACAGAGGGGTGGTGGTGGACGTGGTATACTTGGACAGAGGGGTGGCTGTGGACGTGGTATACTTGGACAGAGGGGTAGACGTGGTCAGGGGCGGACTGACCATTTGGAAACTCAGGCACTGCCCGAGGGCCCGGGGTCAGTAGGGGGCCCCATGAGATGCCCCTGGTACCTTTTTCATAGGCTTTTTTGAGTTTGGGCAAGGACACAGGGGCCCCATGATCCCCTATTGCCCGGGGGCCCCATGAGTTGTCAGTCCGCCCCTGCTGTTAGCAAGAAAATCTTAAAGTGACACTGAACAATATCCTTATTCTCTGAAAATAATCCACACACATCCACTACTTAATGGCCCCGTAATCTATTTGTCATCAAATAGTTTCTTACTGTGTTTTTCTGCCTCCCTCTAACATCCTCTCCTTTTCCTTCTCACTTCTATTTGTTTGGAGCGAGCAGTGCATGTTAGTTGAGGTCATGTGCACTGCTCTATGCACACTACAAATCCCATCATCCATAGTCCATCTGAAGATCAAGCAAGAGAGGGTGGCTACGTTCCTACAGTGGGACCATGGAAAACGAACGTAGTCACCCTCTAACAGGAAATCAGACCACAGCAGTAAAAAAAAAAAAGGAATTAGAAAAGTTAGGAATACATACTTGGATTAATTTTTTTTTTTTAGTTTCACTTTAAACAGTGGCCATGTTAAGAATAAATCTCCAGTGGCACATCTAGAGGACCAGGGGCAGACTGACCATTTAGCCACTAGGGAGGGCCCAGGGTCAGTAGGGGGCCCCATGAGATGCCCCTGGTACCTTTCATAGGCTTTTTTGGGTGTGGTTTGAGTGTGGGCTAGGACACAGGGCCCCCATGATTTCCTATTGCCCGGGGGCCCCATGAGTTGTCAGTCCACCCCTGTATAGGACGTACACACAGGCAAAGGGCTGCTTAATGTGGCCCCAGGATATGGACCTCATTAGGGGGGGTCTCTCATTTCAAGTGGACAAGAGTTGACATAGGAGTCATGTGACCGTTAAAGGGTGACCCGTGAAGTGACCAGATCTACCTGTTGCTGTATATATTGTTTTCCCTTCAGAACAAGGGACCTTTATGAAGACACCCAACAACATGAGACATTGTTATGGACAGTAAAATAGAAAATGACACAGAATTGACTCCAGGCATTCTTTAACTGTGCCTGGAAATGAATAGCTGCAGCCTGATTGGTTGCGGAGAGTTTCAGCGTGTTATTTTTCACGTTCCGGCACATATTTTTTTTAAATTAGGTATTAGGTGGTACAACTAAAGGCACGTCTAAATTGTTAAAGCAATTGATTGGTTTCTACTCTTTTCTGAAGTAATCAAATCTTTCTAAGAGTTTACAGTAGTAGTAGTGTGAGTCGTCAGATGACATGGCGGCTCAGAGGTCACGTATCCATCCAGGAAGAATCTGTGCCTCCATATTTTACAACTTGATAAGGGCAGCCTATACTTTCAACAGAGACCAATGACATCACTAAGAATGCAGCCTATCCCTTCCCTAGAGACCAGTGACATCACTGAGAATGCAGCCTATCCCTTCCCTAGAGACCAGTGACATCACTGAGAATGCAGCCTATCCTTTCCCTAGAGACCAGTGACATCACTGAGAATGCAGCCTATCCTTTCCCAAGAGACCAGTGACATCACTAAGAATGCAGCCTATCCCTTCCCTGGAGACCAGTGACATCACTGAGAATGCAGCCTATCCCTTTCCTAGAGACCAGTGACATCACTAACAATGCAGCCCATCCATTCACTAAAGACCAGTGACATCACTGAGAATGCAGTCTATCCCTTCCCTAGAGACCAGTGACATCATTAGAATGCAGCCTATCCCTTCACTAGAGACATCGCTAAAATCCAGCCTATCCATTTTCTAGAGACTGATGATGTCACTGAGAATGCAGCCTATTCCTTCACTAGAGACCAGTGACATCACTGAGAGTGCAGCCTATCCCTTTACTAGAGACCAGTGACATCACTGAGAATGCAGCCCATCCATTCATTATAGACATCACTGGCAATCTAGCCTATCCATTTTCAAGAGACTGATGATGTCACTGAGAATGCAGCCTATCCATTCACTAGAGGGCAGTGACATCACTGAGAATGCAGCCTATCCCTTCGCTAGAGACTGGTGACATCACGAGAATGCAGCCTATCCATTCACTAGAGACTGGTGACATCACTGAGAATGCAGCCTATCCATTCACTAGAGACTGGTGACATCACTGAGAATGCAGCCTATCCATTCACTAAACACATCACTGGCAATCTACCCTATCTATTTTCTAAAGATTGATGATGTCACTGAGAATGCAGCCTATCCCTTTACAAGAGACCAGTGACATCACTAAGAATGCCGCCTATCCATTCACTAGAAGCCGGTGATATCACTAAGAATGCAGCCTATCCATTCACTACAGACCAGTGACATCACAGAGAATGCAGCCTATCCATTCATTAGAGGCCAGTGACATCACAGAGAATGCAGCCTATCCATTCCCTAGAGGCCAGTGACATCACAGAGAATACAGTCTATCCATTCACTACAGACCAGTGACATCACAGAGAATGCAGCCTATCCCTTCACTACACACCAGTGACATCACCTATGGTTGGGTGTTCAGTGATGTCACTATTATTTTGTAAACAGAAAGGTAGGACACATTCTAGAACGGCTGCATCCATTTCTTTATAGTCATGAGCGCTTTTTAAAATCAAACACATGATCAGGTCCTATAAAATCTCTAATACGGCTTCAGATGCCCCGATAAAGTCTGCAGTCCATTGATGTGATAAATATTCAGACTGAAGCAATATTCTCAGTAAGTGTTCGAACACAGCTTTGTGAGTCCAGCTGCTGCTTCTCTGGACCAATCATACGGTCATCTGCAATGCAGTGCTAGGATTTCATTCTATGGGGTAAAGGCAGACTAGCTAACAAAGGAGCAGCAATGAAAGTCTCCATTATGGTCGCAGTATAGAACACTAGGCTGGAGGCTCACGTTAATACTCAGTTCTGTTTCCAGAGAGGGGCTTCATCATTGCTTCCCGCTCTTGGCGGGCTCGGAGGACTGGCGCACATCTGTCCACTCCTGCATGGTGTTCTGCAAGGCTTGGGTCTTCTCCTTGTCCACCTGGACATAGTAGTCCACCTTCTCATCTGAGGCTACAGAAGACGTTGACGGCTGAAAGCAATACAAATATTGTCAGATTTCTTTGTTGAAAAGCCAAGGGGTAGATTTACTAACACTGGAGAGTGCAAAATCTGGTTCAGCTGTGCATGGTAGCCAAACAGCTTCTCACTTCAGATGGTTCAATTAAGCTTGGACAATAAAACCTGGAAGCTGATTGTTTTCTATGCAGAGCTGCACCAGATTTTGCACACTCCAGTTTTAGTAAATCAACCCCCATGGGTCATAAAACACTAAAACAGTACTAAAGAAGATCTAAATTCAGCACTGGATTCAAGTTCTTTTTGAAGAGTTAAGCTGCCTGTGGATTTTGCCAAGTCAGAAAGTGACCATATTGTCTGCACAGACTTGGACTTAAAAAGGAGAAGTACAGCCAAAGCACTTTTGTCTGTACTTCTCCTGTGGATCACAGGAGTGCAGTTCGTGCTGCACTTCTGTGACCTGTTTTCGGCTGAAGCTGTCGGCTGACGTCACTCAACCGGTCCAGGCTGTGGAAAGATCCCGCCTTTAAAGTCAGGGTCCACCCCAGGGTCTGGAACGGCACCCGGCTCAGCATCTCAGAGAGCCGATGAGAGCCTGAGCCAGCCATTTCCACAGTCCAGCGCTCCAGTGAGCTCGGGGGGGGGGGGGGGGGGGGGGGGGCAGAGCAGAGAGCGGTGACTGACAGTCACCGCTCTCTGCCCAGAGCAGCTGTGAGAACTCAGCGATCGGTGGTCATATGATCGCTGAGTTCTCACACTAAGAGCCAGCGGGGGACAGATGCAGTATCGGACCAATGCTGCATCCACCTAGGTAAGTATAATTTGGGGAAAAAAAAAAACAAACCCCATATTTCTCTTTTAAGAGGTATGTAAATGCATATATTGGCATTTGAAACAATACACACTTACAGATTTTTAGTTTGCTAAAGCAAAAATAATAAAATACAGCTATCACCTTTTTTTTGGCACATCAGTGCTGCTGATATCCTGCAGCCACTTCCTGTCTACATGCATGTGCTCTAGTCAGGGGCAGACTGATCATTTGGAAACTTGGGCACTGCCCGAGGGCCTGGGGTCAGAAGGGGGCCCCATGAGATGCCCCTGGTACCTTTTTCATGGGCTTTTTTGAGTTTGGGCAAGGACACAGGGGCCCCATGATCCCCTATTGCCCAGGGGCCCCATGAGTTGTCAGTCTGCCCCTGGCTCTAGTGGCAGCTGCATGTCTGGGCGGGCTTCTTAACGGCATGCCTGTGCAATGTGCGCCAGCTTAGCCTCTTAGTCTCCACTGGAAGGGCGTGTATGACAGGTGGTCCTCACCAAAGCCAGATGACCACATACAGCCAACAGGTTTTGGGGAAAGAGCCTCCCACTTCTTCAGGGCTTCAGTGTACGGTTCGTAGTTAAAACCGGGTGGAACTCACTAAAAGGTCCACTTGAGGTCTAAATTGATCTGCAGTATCATTCTTGTGGAGATGACGGGGCTTGACTTGAGGTTATGCTGATACCGCAGATCAGTTTTGTAGGCCTTTTAGTGAATTTTGTCTGTGTAATGCCTATGAAATGTGTTGGCCTGGGACCCTTTGTTTCTTGGGTAATTTTTACAATAAAGCATTGTTGCCCAAATGCCAGGAGCATGAGAGGTGGCTGATGTCATTTCTCTAAGTCACAAGATATTCTGCTTATAGCAAGATAGGAACTTGTTTGTGGGATTGAACATGTTTATGACATCTAGTAATGTCACATTAGAGGATAAGAACCTGTATAAAGATGTCTACCTGCTTGAGAAATTAGAAATCTTTACGTTTAGGGTAGAGGAGAAGAAGTTTGGGGTAGATGAGAAGTTTGGGGTAGATGAGAAGTTGTTTGGGGTAGATGAGAAGAAGTTTGGGGTAGATGAGAAGAAGTTTGGGGTAGATGAGAAGAAGTTTGAGGTAGATGAGAAGAAGTTTGAGGTAGATGAGAAGAAGTTTGAGGTAGATGAGAAGAAGTTTGAGGTAGATGAGAAGAAGTTTGGGGTAGATGAGAAGACGTTTGGGGTAGAAGAGAAGACGTTTGGGGTAGAAGAGAAGACGTTTGGGGTAGAAGAGAAGACGTTTGGGGTAGAAGAGAAGACGTTTGGGGTAGAGAGAAGAAGTTTGGGGTAGATGAGAAGAAGTTTGGGGTAGATGAGAAGAAGTTTGGGGTAGATGAGAAGAAGTTTGGGGTAAATGAGAAGAAGTTTGGGGTAAATGAGAAGACGTTTGGGGTAAATGAGAAGACGTTTGGGGTAGAAGAGAAGAAGTTTGGGGTAGAAGAGAAGAAGTTTGGGGTAGATGAGAAGAAGTTTGGGGTAGATGAGAAGAAGTTTGGGGTAGATGAGAAGAAGTTTGGGGTAAATGAGAAGATTGGGGTAGATGAGAAGAAGTTTGGGGTAGATGAGAAGAAATTTGGGGTAGATAAGAAGCTGAACTGAAGCAAAAGTGTGACTTTTCAGATAACAATGTGGAATCAATATGGTGGCTGAGCATGACTCTGTTATCCTCACGGAACCTTTCTGCTAGCTCCTCCTATGGTGGGTGTGGCGCCCGCCCACTATTGGAAAGCGTCCAGAAAAAATGGTTTAAAAGCCTAAAGTCCAAGCAAGCCCGATAGAAAGCCCCCTAGTGGCCAGGGGATGCTCTGACACTGGGATTCCTGCCAAGGCTATATGGGCTCATCAATTGGTCACACTTACGGCTTCCCTGTGACCCCCTGTGCAGTATGGTTCCGATAGGATTTGTTCCTTCCCACTTCCAGCTGTGGTAATGTATTAATTCTATGCTGTGACGCTGTCAAGTGATGTGTCTGTTTGATGCTGTAATGCTCACATTATTATTTGTGTGTGTTATTATGCAGATTGTAATGATTATAAGATATATCCTCCTGTGTGTCATGTGATAATAAAAGTGGAGGTTTTGACACTGCAAGAATATTGCAGTTGGATTCTGTTATTTCTTGGAGTGCCGAGTGAATGCCATGATGTGCCAGGGCGGGTGTTCATTGGGCAGAGGGTCTTTCACATGCGTAGAATATGTAATGGTGTAAATGCTCATTAAAAGTACCTGTATGACTACATGTTGATTGTGTGCGTGTTTCTGACTTGCTTTTAGTTATTGCACCCAGCATTTGCCGTTACAGTCTGGTTTTAGCTATAGACAACATGCTTGAAGTCCTGAAGAAGGGGCGGCTTTTTCCATGAAACGTGTCAGCTGTATTTGATGCTCTCGCCTAATAGACAATTTATATGAATCGCCGAATTAGAAGACTGTCTTTACTAGGCACTCCCAGCCAATACCCTACACCGTTCCTTTGATCTTAGAAAGGTACACTAGATGTTCTGAACCAACCTACTGGTTTGATGGTCAATAACCTGGTGGAGTACAAGGAGCGTTTATGAACATCAATATTAAACATATACCTTTCTGTGAGGGCTTGGTGACACCGGCTGGAAGTCTAGAGCCAGATAGTCCACGCTGCCGGTACTCTTCTTCTGGGCAGGGCTGTTGGTGCCACTGGTTCCTGGGGATGCTGAGACAGGGTTTTGCTGTGAAGACATAAAAGGTTTGAATTTATGAGACTGTTTGGGTTATATATTAAAGGTCAATTTATTAGTTCCTGACTTTGGGCGTGCAACACATGCCCAAAAAGTCATCATTGTACACAGGATGTGTGTAGAAAGTCCAGTCTCTCTGCCCTGCTCCTGTGACTCCTCCCCCTCCCCCAGTGTACAAAGTGATCAAAGCTGGGATCACTGTATACTCCAAGATGATGTTGGCAGCTCCAGCTGTCAAAAAAGCACTCCGACTCATTGTTTATAATAAACAATTGCTCAGATGAATATAGAAAGATAAAAAGTAACATTGTTACTTCTGTATCATTCTGTTTATTCATCAACAGATCAAAGGGATGAACTTGGATCCGCTAAAGCAGTGGTATCCAAACTGCAGCCCTTTGCTTGCTTTTATATGGCCCTTGAAGCACTGCTTCATTCATTGACACCAACGTAGGGCACAATTCCTCCCAATGACACCAACGATGGGACACAATTCCTCCCAATGACACCAATGATGGGGCACAATTCCTCCCAATGACACTAACGATGAGACACAATTCCTCCCAATGACACCAAAGATGGGACACAATTCCTCCCAATGACACTAACGATGGGACACAATTCCTCCTAATGACACCAACGATGGGACACAATTCCTCCCAATGACACCAACGAAGGGACACAATTCCTCACAATGACACCAACGATGGGCCACAATTCCTCCCAATGACACCAATGATGGGGCACAGTTCCTTCCAAAGATACAAACAATGGGGCCCAATAACACCAGAAATGGGACACATTCTTTCCAATGACATCAAGGATAGGGCACAATTCCTCACGTTGACACCAGTGATAGGGCACAATTCCTCCCAATGATGCAACTATGGTGCCCAATGGCACCAATGTTGGGGCCCAAATTCCTACCAACGTAGGGACACAATTCCTCCCAATGACACCAACGATGTGACACACTTCTTCCCAATGACACCAATGATGGGGCACAGTTCCTCCCAATGATACCGATGATGGGACACACTTCCTCCCAATGATACCAATGATGGGACACACTTCCTCCCAATGTGGGGAAGAGGCCCTTGTCCCCATCAACATTGGGACAAGGTGCGTTGGGGGGGGGGGGAACCCCAAAATATTTAAAAAATATTCTTCAGATTTTTTTTGTAAACATATAAAAAAGTAATTTTAACATATATTTTTACATATATCTGTAAATGCATTCCAAAAATGTTGATTTGTATCTTCAAAAACATACAGTATATTTGAAATGTATTTTTAAAAATATTTTTCATATATTTTGTAATAAAAACGCATTTCAACATGCAGTATATTTATAAATATTTATTGAAATATATTGAATATGACAAAAATTGTAGCATGTCAAATTAATGGCGATATATTTGGGAAGAATATTTTAAAAATATATTTCAAATATATTTTTCTTCCATATGGGAATGCGGATAAAGATCTGAAATAACTCTTCAGCCAATTGCAGTGGTAGCAGAGTGTGCTAGTGGGGGGCCCCAGGTCACCTTTTGCACCGGGGCTCCCAAGCTACCCTCCCGACCTGCACAGTCCACCAGTGAAGACGACTTACCATAGCTACGTAATTCTCTTCGCTGTCCCCAGAGCTGGTGCTGGTTATACTCTGTGTGGACACTGGGCGGCAGTATTGGGAGGAGCTGGATTTTAGAGAGTGGCTGTAAAGGAAAACAGCAGAGATTACTTGTAGAGGCAATGGCTCTGTGCTCAGCAGGGTACTTACACTTGGAAAAGTGAATTGTTACTTAGAAATGAGTCTTCAGTTATCGAATCCTGTTTTGATTTTTTTTTTTGGTTTTTTCATTTTCCTTGCATGTGATTGGGTATTCTTTGCAAAGGGAATTCTCACTCCATTTGCTAAGGTAAGGGAATATTCCTCCGCACAGTGAACAAGCTCCGCCCCCTAGTAAATCAGCCATTAAGTGTATGAGATCAGCGCTGTGATAACATTCTTGGTGCGTCTACAATGACTCTTTAATCCAGCGGGGTTTGGGAATAATAATAGAGAATGTCTAATCTGAGATATTCATTAATATTATCATCTTTTCAATGAAAGGGAACTCCACTCAAAACTTTTTCTTTGTTTAATTTTAGTTTGGGATGAGTGCTGTACAGTTTGTTCTGCCATCATTCCCAACTTTGGATGGCGCACACCCCTTATAATGGGCACACAGCAGGTGTACAGACCTGGGAACTCAGCACAGGGATGGTGGGAACCCCTCATAATAGGCACAGTAGGTGTAAAGACCTGGGAACTCAGCACAGGGATGGTGGGAACCCCTCGTAATGGGAACAGCAGGTGTACAGACCTGGGAACTCAGCACAGGGATGTGGGAACCCCTCATAATGGATACAGCAGGAGAACAGACCTGGGAACTGAGCACAGGGATGGTGGGAACCCCTCATGATGGGCACAGCAGGTGTACAGACCCAGGAACTCAGCACAGGGATGGTGGTAACTCCTCATAATGGGCACAGCAGGGGTACAGACCTGGGAACTCAGCACAGGGATGGTGGGAACCCTTATAATAGGCACAGTAGGTGTATAGACCTGGGAACTCAGCACAGGGATGGTGGGAACCCCTCGTAATGGGCACAGCAGGTGTACAGACCTGGGAACTCAGCACAGGGATGTGGGAACCCCTCATAATGGGTACAGCAGGAGAACAGACCTGGGAACTGAGCACAGGGATGGTGGGAACCCCTCATGATGGGCACAGCAGGTGTACAGACCCAGGAACTCAGCACAGGGATGGTGGTAACTCCTCATAATGGGCACAGCAGGGGTACAGACCTGGGAACTCAGCACAGGGATGGTGGGAACCCCTCATAATGGGCACAGCAGGGGTACAGACCTGGGAACTCAGCACAGGGATGGTGGGAACTCCTCATAATGGGCACAGCAGGTGTACAGACCCTGGAACTCAGTACAGGGATAATGGGAACCCCTCATAATGGGCATAGCAGGTGTACAGACCTGGGGACTCAGCACAGGGATGGTGGGAACCCCTCATAATGAGCACAGCAGGTGTACAGACCTGGGAAGTCAATGTAGTGATGGTGGGAACCCCCTTATAATGGACACAGCAGATCTGGGAACTCAGCGCAGAGATCTCAGCAATAGTCTTGTGAATGAGAGAATGTGAGAATTGTCAGAAGGTTCAATTCTCCACCATATACTGAAATGTCTGTTCTTAGGCAGACTGTCCATCTATCTCTCCTGGATAGTATGAACCCCGAGGAGCTCTGAGCACTTCCAGGTTCAGAACTGTCAAACCCCAGTGGCTTTGGCCAGGGAAGAAGCTGATTGGACAAGGTCTGTGCTCAATCAGCTTCAGCAAAGCGGACAATGCACTTTGTTTAGCCCGGGTTCACAGTAATGTGGTGCGGTATTTGCAGCATTTTCAGTGCAAATTCCACACTGCATCAGAATCACACCCCGTTCATGCGAACCGCTGCGGGTGTGTATGTTAACAACATCCCAAAACGTGTGCAGAATCGGATCCTATAGGTGTGAATACCCATGTGATCTGATTCTAGTGCAGACCAAAAAAGGGTCCTGTACCTTTTTGGTGCCGTGCGATTAGAGCCATACAAAATGTACGGCTCCAATCGCAGCGCGCACAAACCGCATGTGATTTGTACAGGAATGCAATGCGGTTCCTGAGTAAATCACATGCGATATACCGCACCACACATATGTGAACCCGGGCCTAAGCTCAATGAGCACAGACCTTGTTCAATCAGCTCTTTCTCTGTCCAGCGGCATATATACGGTGAGGCAAACAAGGCATTTGCCTAGGGCAGCAATTGCAAGGTGGGGCGCCCAATTTCAGTATTGCCTAGGGCAGCACAAAAACTAAATACACCACTGGAGGTGACATAAGGGCTCAAATAGACCCCTGATGTCTCCTTAAAGAGAACCTGTCACCTGCACTATGCTATCACATGCGGTTCTATCAGCCCCCCCCCCTTGTGATAACAATAAAGTGGAGTTTAAATTTCTTTTTTTTTAATTTTGAGACTTGGCAACCCTGGAATCTATTTACTTGACCTCGCTTCAACTTGAAAAAAATGATAAGAGCGGTCCAGGTACACTGGGTGGGTTCTCGGTAGAATGGCGAGAATGTTTCCTGGCCATTCAGAACTGAATCACGGTGCTCTCTACACCTGGCAACAATTTTTTGAACCAAAGCTCATTCCTTTCAATCGGGGCCACAATCTATAGATGAGCTTTCCTCAGAATGATGCCCCCTAGGGCCGCACTGTGAGAAGCTTCATCTATTTTCCCTTTCCCAGCTTGGAGCATTCAGCTATTCCTGACCTGAGCAGGTAGGTTGCAAATGCTGCAAGTCATGATGGTATTTTTCTTTAGATCTGGTCAGCCAGTTGTGTGCTCGATGCAACAGGAGAATGAACACGCTGTATAGGCCCCTGCTGCATGTAGGTCTGTACTTACGCTTGTCTAGACCAGGATTTAGTGACTGGAGACTTGAATGGAAGTTCATCTATTATCGCTGTAGCTCGAAGGTCCAGGGGTGTGGGTTTTGCTGCAGAGAAAGAGTGTTGGAAGAGATCAGTAAAGTGTTAGTAACCCCAGTACCCTGCATTCTCTATATCTGGTCTCCCAGGACCCTGCATTCACTATATCTGGTCTCCCAGGACCCTGCATTCACTATATCTGGTCTCCCAGGACCCTGCATTCACTATATCTGGTCTCCCAGGACCCCGCATTCACTATATCTGGTCTCCCAGGACCCTGCATTCACTATATCTGGTCTCCCAGGACCTCGCATTCACTATATCTGGCATTCACTATATCTGATCTCCCAGGACCCTGCATTCACTATATCTGATCTCCCTGGACCCTGCATTCACTATATCTGGTCTCCCCGGATCCTGCATTCACTATATCTGGTCTCCCCGGACCCTGCATTCACTATATCTGGTCTCCCCGGACCCTGCATTCACTATAGCTGGTCTCCCAGGACCCCGCATTCACTATATCTGGTCTCCCAGGACCCCGCATTCACTATATCTGGTCTCCCCGGACCCTGCATTCACTATATCTGGTCTCCCAGGACCCTGCATTCACTATATCTGGTCTAAGTGCAGCATTAAAATGACAATTTATTAGTAAACAGACAATTGGCAACTCACAGGAAAGAAGATTACTTAATGGAATGGTTCACCTTCAATGACATTTGCCCAAAAAATCCCAATGCAGTACAGCGTCCTCAGTACAGGAATATGCAGTATTTCCTTTTGTAAAAAGATGCTTACATTTCAAGCGGCTTATTCCATTGCACTTCCTTATCCATCCTGTAGATGGCAGGCTGTACTGAGCGTTAGATGCTCAGCCCCTGAAAACTCAAGAACAAGCACTTGACTTTATTCCCTACCCAAGCATTCGCCATCCACTCTCTCTTGCAGCTCAGGGTCCTTCGAGATTGAGAGAGAGAGAGAGAGTGAACTTACGCATGCGTGGGTAGGGAACGAAGCCAAGTGCTCGTTCAGGAGCTGCTACCCATATGAATATATTTGAAATATATTTTAAAAATATTCTTCCCAAATATATTGACATATATTTGAAATGCTACAATTTTGGCCGTATTCAATAAATTAAAAAAATAATAATATTAATAAAAATAATTTTATATATATACATATATACACACACACACATATATATACATATATACACACACACACACACACATATATATATATATACACACACACACATATATATACATATATACACACACACACACACACATATATATATATATATATATATATATATATATATATATATATACACACACATATATACACACACACATATATATATACACACACACACACATATATATATACACACACACACACACACACACATATATATATATATATATGTATACATACATATATACATACACATACACAGACATATGCACATATTTTTAAAAAATACATTTTAAAATACACTGTAGGTCTTTAAAAATACAAATCTACATTTTTGGAATGCATTTACAAATATAATGTAAAAATATATGTTAAAATGACTTTTTTATATGTTTAAAAAAAATCTGAAGAATATATTTACAGTGGGGCAAAAAAGTATTTAGTCAGCCACCAATTGTGCAAGTTCTCCCACTTAAAAAGATGAGAGAGGCCTGTAATTGGCATCATAGGTAGACCTCAACTATGAGAGACAAAATGAGAAAAAAAAATCCAGACAATCACATTGGCTGATTTGGAAAGAATTTATTTGCAAATTATGGTGTAAAACAAGTATTTGGTCAATATCAAAGTTCATCTCAATACTATATGTTATATATATCCTTTGTTGGCAATGACAGAGGCCAAACATTTCCTGTAAGTCTTCACAAGGTTGGCACACACTGTTGCTGGTATGTTGGCCCATCCTCCATGCAGATCTCCTCTAGAGCAGTGATGTTTTGGGGCTGTCACTGGGCAACACGGACTTTCAACTCCCTCCAAAGGTTTTCTATGGGGTTGAGATCTGGAGACTGGCTAGGCCACTCCAGGACCTTGAAATGCTTCTTAGGAAGCCACTCCTTCGTTGCCCGGGCGGTATGTTTGGGATCATTGTCATCTTGGAAGACCCAGCCACGTTTCATCTTCAATGCCCTTGCTGATGGAAGGAGGTTTGCACTCATAATCTCACGATACATGGCCCCACTGCGGGATCTGAGTCCCTGGCAGCATAGTGTGTTACTGATGGTAGCCTTTGTTACGTTGGTCCCAGCTCTCTGCAGGTCATTCACTAGGTTCCCCCGTGTGGTCCTGGGATTTTTGCTCACCGTTCTTGTGATCATTTTGACCCCACGGGGTGAGATCTAGCATGGAGCCCCAGATCGAGGGAGATTATCAGTGGTCTTGTATGTCTTCCATTTTCTAATTATTGCTCCCACAGTTGATTTGTTCACATCAAGCTGCTTGCCTATTGCACATTCAGTCTTCCCAGCCTGGTGCAGGTCTACAATTTTGTTTCTGGTGTCCTTCAACAGCTCTTTGGTCTTCACCATAGTGGAGTTTGGAGTGTGACTGTTTGAGGTTGTGGACAGGTGTCTTTTATACTGATAACAAGTTCAAACAGGTGCCATTGATACAGGCAATGAGTGCAGGACAGAGGAGCCTCATAAAGAAGAAGGTACAGGTCTGTGAGAGCCAGAAATCTTGCTTGTTTGTAGGTGACCAAATACTTATTTTCCACCATAATTTGCAAATAAATTCTTTCCAAATCAGCCAATGTGATTGTCTGGATTTTTTTTCTCATTTTGTCTCTCATAGTTGAGGTCTACCTATGATGCCAATTACAGGCCTCTCTCATCTTTTTAAGTGGGAGAACTTGCACAATTGGTGGCTGACTAAATACTTTTTTGCCCCACTGTAAAATATATATATATATTTTTAAAATATATATATATTTTTAAAATATATTCTTCAGATTTTTTTTAAGATCTATTTTTTACAAATATTCTTCATATGTTTGGCAATAAAAATGCATTTCAACATGCAGTGTATATATATATATATATATATATATATATATATATATATATATATATATATATATATATATATATATACACATTCAATATATTCCAAAATATATTTCAATAAATATAATATATATATATATATATATATATATACTGTATGTTGAAATGTGTTTTTTTTTATTACAAAATATATGAAAAATATTTAGAAAAGTACATTTTCAAATATACTGTATTTCTTTAAAAATACATTTTTGGAATGCATTTACAAATATATGTAAAAATATAGGTTAAAATTACTTTTTTATATGTTAAATAAAATCTGAAGAATATATTTTGAAAAATATTTTTCATATATTTTGTAATATATATAAAAACGCATTTTAAAATGCAGTTTTATATATATATATATATATATATATATATATATATATATATATATATAATATAAATATATTGAATATGACCAAAATTGTAGTATTTCAAATATATCTCAATAGATTTGGGAAGAATATGTTTAAAATATATTTCAAATATATTTTTCTTCCATGTGGGTAGGGCTGCCCATCCAACGCTAGGTAAATTCTGCCATCTATGTACTGAACAGTTCTGTCTGTGAATTGTATCCACCTAATGAGCCTCACCTTTCCTATCGGGCTTGAGGTTCCGGTTTACAGGAGGCGGCTGGATTTCACTGACTCGAGTCGGTCTCTGACACAGAGAGGCGGTACTTCCTTTACGGGCAGGGAGTGTGGCGGAGGAAAATCCCAGGAAGTCGAAGTGGTGTGGCCCAGGGCTCATGGGGATATAAACGCTCTGTGCGTTGTCATTCAGCTTCTCGGAGTTGAAGTGAGAGGACGAACCGGGGTTCATGGGGACGTAGTTGTCTTCGGAATCTGCACTTTCCGAGCGGGTCATGGAGCATTTGGTTTGCTGCGGGTAAATACCATCAAAGTCATGGAACCAATACCTACAAGCATCTACTTGGTCAAATAATGACACTAATAACAACACATTACATAATCTTTTATGTTGTTCAGGTAGATCTCCACATCTCAAAAGGTTGCCTACCCCCCTGCTCTAGGGTATTCAAAAGATTTTGGAGAAACTGTCGTCAACATTTTGACATACCTTCCAATTCTTTCGAATTACTCTCTCCATATGTAAATAAATATATGAAATAACCTCTTTGGCCACTTGGAGTATCTTGGTGCGCGGTGGGAGTGTCTTGACAAACTGCAGATGGTAATGGGGGGATCTGAACCCATGACCTCTGCGTCTGGCAGCAGATCTTCTTACTGAGCCACCTGTGATGCTGGACAGCTCCCTGTCTGATCTCCTGGAACAATCTTGCTTTGTCTCTTGTGAACCTTGGATGCTGTGCACCTCCCATGAACTTCCTTATTAAGTCATGCCTTTGCTCTTCCTGTTTGCCAGATTACTGTCTTCTCACCAGTCACTATCTACGTTACTGACCCTTGGCTTGTTCCTCAACTAGGCTTCTGCTTGATCCCAACCTGCAACCACTTGTTACCACCCTTGGCTTGTTCCTCAACTACTCTTCTGCTTGATCCCAACCTGCAAACACTCGTTATTAACCTTTGGCTTGTCCCTCGACTACGGTTCTGCCTGATCCCAACTTGCAACCACTCATTACCGACCCTTGGCTTGTTCCTCGACTATGTGTCTGTCTGATCCCAACCTGGAACCACGTGTTACCCACCTTTGGCTTGTTTCCAACTATGCTTTCACTTGATCCCAACCTGCAACCATTCAATACAGACCCTTGGCTAATTCCTTGACTACATTTCTGCCTGATCCCAACCTGCAACCTCTCATTACTGAATTTTGGCTTGTTCCTCAACTACGCTTCTGCCTGATCCCAACCTGCAACCATTCAATACAGACCCTTGGATTATTCCTCGACTATGCTTCTGCCTGATCCCAACCTGCAACCACTTGTTACTGACCTCTGACTTGTTTCCAACTATGCTTCAGCTTGATCCCAACCTGCAAACATTCAATACAGACCCATAGCTTATTCCTCGACTATGCTTCTGCCTGATCCCAACCTGCAACCTCTCGTTACCGACCTTTGGCTTTTTACTGACTATGCTTCTGCTTGATCCCAACCTGCTACATCTGCAACCAGACCCCAACTTGCTTACCTCCTGGTGAGGTAATCCTGAGGACCGTAACCTGGCACTTGCATGCAGCAAAACCCATCTCCACCATCAGGAGCTTTGGTGAATACCACCTAGTGCTTAGACCCCTGTATCTCAAGTGACCGTCCGTCATCTGCTTGTGAATTTATCCTGTTGGTCAGTGAGAATCTCTAGAATGCTATAGCTACTGGTCTCACCCGGACTGTGGCATTTATATAATAGTCAATGAAATTGCCTGTCATAAGTCAACTGGTAGCAAGGTGAACTTTGGCATTCCCTCAGCGAATGCTTCCACATGGTGTTGAGGATACCATTGGCCTGGTTCTCGAAGCAATTCTACTTCTAAGGCATGCATATCACTGTACACAATGCTGCAGAGGTGTGCTCTGCCATGGCACAAGCATGCTACCAGAAGTTGGTCAATGGAGTCCCTCAACAATGGTTGAGAGCATCAGAAGATGAGGTTGATAGCTGTCCTTTCATTTTAATGCTGCTCATTGACATTAGGTTATGAACGACCTTCTAAAAGATATTTGGGTCACCTGATATATATTAAACAGCCAATGCCTTCAGACCACATCTAGTGCTACAATAATCTAGGCAGATATAACAGAGTTCGCATGACCGCTACATTTTTTAACAGAGGTTATGAAGAAGCTTTTTTACGTACGTTTTCCAAGGAACGTTGCCTGAAACCTCTCAATGTGTACTTCAATGAAATGAGCTCCTGGGTGTTTCCCATGCTGATTTTATTTAGGTTTTTTTCAGACATGCAGATTAGCAGGCTTCATGAGGATATACAGCAAAGGACTCACCAGATAAGAGTTGAAGCCATCATTGATGGACTCCACAGACTGTTCCACACTTAGGTCTCCCAGATGAGGATAGTCGTAGGCTTCACAGGAAGATGCTGGAAAAAAAAATCACATGGATTACTTTAATAATAAAGGGTAAGCCTTCTTGTTGACACTACATTTTCCATAGACATTAACAAGGGCCAAAAAGTGATTAAAGAAACATGAACTCCACCAGAGGTCAATTAGTGATAAGGGCAACAGGGGAACTACAAGAAGTAAATATGTGATTAGTGTGAGATGGACTACAACAGAGATCAATAATTGATAAGTATGACATGGACACCATCAGGGGTCAATAAGCGATAGGCGTGACTTGGACACCATCAGGGGTCAATAAGCGATAGGTGTGACTTGGACACCATCAGGGGTCAATAAGCGATAGGTGTGACTTGGACACCATCAGGGGTCAATAAGCAATAGGTGTGACTTGGACACCATCAGGGGTCAATAAGCGATAGATGTGACTTGGACACCACCAGAAGTCAATAAATGATAAGTCTGACATGGACATCATCAGAGGTCAATAAGTGATAGTTGTGACATTGACTACATCAGAGGTCAATAAGTGATAAGTGTGAGATGGACTATACCAGAGGGAAATAAGTGACAGGTGAGACTTGGACACCACCAGAGGTCAATAAATATGTCTGACATGGACTCCACTAGAGGTCAATAAGTGATAGGTGTGATAGAAACTATACCAAGGGTCTGTAAGTGATGAGTATGTCATGGACACCATCAGAGGTCAATAAGTGATAGTTGTGATTTTGAGTACATCAGAGGTCAGAAAGTGATAAGTGTGAGGTGGACTATACCAGAGTGAAATAAATGATAGGTGTGACTTGGACACCACCAGAGGTCAATAAATAAGTCTGACATGGACTCCTCCAGAGGTCAATAAGTGATAGGTGTGACATGAGCTATACCAGGGGTTTGTAAATGAGTATGACTTGGACACCATCAGAGGTCAATAAGTGATAGGTGTGACACTGACTACACCAGAGATCAATAAATGATAAGTCCGATATGGTTTCCACCAGATGTAAACCATACAAGCCTTCAATGTGCCACATCCAAAAATACTAGAGAAAAATAACTGCTAGAAAAACTAAACAGCGCAAAAAGCGGACTTTCTAGGCACCACATGAGACCATAAATGATTACAATAAAATACGCATACTGTCAGGAATGGACTCGCCAATGGTGGTGGGACTCACCTGCCTCGTGGGCTGCAGTACCAAGGCTGGCCAGCGGGTGCTCTCAGCAGCCAGAATCTCACTCCTGCAATCAAGCCATCACCCGAGGCTGATTGCAGGAGGTGTATTTAAGCAGGACCAGGCCTGTGGTCAGGGCCTTGGTGTATTGCTCCCTTGTGCCCTGTATCCTGATCCTGTATCCTGTCTGCTTGACTCTCTGCTTTGATCCTGACTCCGCATGAACTCTGCCTGTACCGACCTCGGCTACTCCTGACCACTCTCCTGCCTGCTCCTTGTACCTTGTCTGCCCATTAGCTACCGAGCCGGCCAGCCCAACTACGTTTGGTGTTGTACATATTGTTATCTGTTGGAGGTTTTGTTTTGTTTGCACTGTGTTTATGTTTAGCCTTGCACTGCGTTTATGTATTGTTTTGCCTTTAATAAATTGTATTGTTTATACTATACCCGAAGTCTGTGTTTCCCTGTGTCGGTCCACACATCTCTGGCCATACCCGGATCCCTGACACATACTTTATAATAACATGTATAAAATTAGACACATGTAAACATCTGCCTTGTTAAAAAAGATCATGGGGAATCACTCCCAATATGTAACCTTCTAAAATAATATTACATAGACACAGAGATTGTATTCTGTATTCATATCTTGTCCTGGAGCCAAATGGTTGGAAAAGAGGGTTTGAGGAAGTATGGCTCCCGAAACGCGTCAGTTTTCTAACCATTTGATTCCAGGACCGTAAGAGCTAATAAACTCATTGACTATTTATACACTGACACTAATCGCAATTTAAAAGCCACAGATGTGGGACATTAACCTCTAATTGGCATTGTAACCCGTGTGTGCCACCTTGTGTGTCTGTACCAAGGCCAAACATTCCAGGGGATGGAAACTATTGATCCGGGGGGCGGAGACTTCTGATCCGGGGGCGGAGACTTCTGATCCGGGCCATTTGGGTGATTTCTGTTATCATTATGATTTAAAAGGAGCCAAACAACTATTTGATAATAAATGGCTTCATATGATCATCATCCTTCAATAAAAGAGCATTTTTTGGCATGATCAGTCATATTTTCAATATCAATGCCAAAATTTCACAATTTCTGCCAGGGGATGCAAACTTTTGAGCACAACTGTATGTGGCATTATTCCTATCACTGACACCAACTATGGAGCATTGTTTCTCCCCACTGTCAACAGGCCTTTTTTCTATTCCCGCTGGCCTCAGTCCGGCTCCCCGCACAGTCTGGAGGACAGTATACTGGCCCTTTGTTTAAAAAGTTTTAGACTTCTGATGGGAAACTACCACTTATACCAGGAGTCACCAAACTGCAGCCTCTGGAGTGAATGTGGCCCTTTGCTGGCCTTTATCCGGCCCTTGGGGCACTCCACTGATACGTGGCACTATCCCTTCCACTGATACCAAAGACAAGGCACTATTCCTCCCATTGACACCAACAATGGGGCACTTTTTCTCCCACTGACACCAATAATTGGGACACTATTCCTCCCACTGACATCAATCATGAGGCACTATTCCTGCAACTGATACCAACAA